AGAGATAAAAACAGCAAGTGAGAGCAAGGGATAGCACACCACTAGTACAGACTGATAATGTCTTTATAACATCAATAAACAAGAGAAAAACAAAAAGAATTCATCATTCCACAAATTCTTCACAGTTCTACCATCTTTCTACCAATTAACTTGTCATGAGGCAAGGAAGTGTACTCAGGAGAAAAGATCCCTCTTTTCAGCTGCCTGTCCTGCTGTATGCCATGTTGAAGTCCAAAGTGCTCTAGAAATCTGACTTTTTATGCTGACCAAAACTGACAGCTCCAATCCAACATATAAACAAAGAAAACCAATTATAATCATATTCGCAAGACCCCTGATGGATCAAAATTGTCTATACAACGTACCTTACTGATACAAGATGGCTTGTTTCCCAAAGAAAAATCCTATCAGAAGTGAATATTATAACAGTATGTGAAAAAAACCAACAAATCCCTTCATCCTAATTGCTGCTTAATTCAAATAGTAGAAATACCCAGACAACCAAAACATTACAGTATTATAGGCTGATACTCTGATGTAACATACTCGCAGAAATATGTTAGCTGAACTAACTTATAAAAGTTCCTGTAGTTACTGCAGGATATGAAAGCAATCTTGAGCAGGTAGAAGGTTATACTTCCACCCAGTACTTTTAGTATCTTATAGTATAAAATAATGGTGTATCCAGGCTTAAATAAAATATCCTGCTTTGTGATGGTGTACTAATGGAGCAGTCAGGAACAACTGAACACATCATGGTTCTTCAGGTAAATAAGATTTTGGGATAAATGTTATTCCTGCAGTCAAAAAACTTTCCTGTCTTAAAAACTACTATGAAGAAAAACTGATCCCGCTGAAGTCCATAGCAATATTCTGGTAGCTGTACTCTTCAGATATCACCTGAAATTGTACCAGCTGTATTAAAAAACTTAATGGCTGTTTTTTACAGTGAAAAGGAGAGTCCTTGGCAAAGGACTATTTTATAGCTGTTTTTCAGTCTTTTATGATACTTTCATAAAGAAAAAAAACCCTTTAGCAACTAGAAAAGATACTGCAACATGTCCAAAAAGCAATGCTGACTATACTGTTTTAAAAAGTAGGTGTTGAAGTAGTAAGAGACTGAATGTCTGCAAGATGTACTGGAAAGTGTTTTGTTAAACCTTGTGTGGCCACATTCTCCTAAAATTCATCCACACAAGTAAAAAAAGATAATCCTTTAAAGATGTTCTATTGTGGTTTGCATTCATTTTACACTATTCTCCACTAAGAAAACCATTAATGTAGTTTAAGCAAAGGAAACTATATATGCTTTTGAACAGTATAGAGTCAAACAGCTTTAGATTTCATGTCCTACTGTCCCTGCAGCCCCTTCAGAGTTCTGCTGCCTATGTGTGGAGAGAAGGCTGGAGAGAGAGAGAATAAATTCTGCCTTTTAGAAAAGAGTATAAATTGTGTAGCCAACTGTACAAGATAGTCTATGATGTAATAATTGTTGAAGCTGGATAGTTGAGGGCCACATTTCAGGCTGACTGCACATGATAGCATGTGCACCTAGAATCCTGGTCCTTTCTTGTTTTGCAATGCTTTGGCATTGCACTGGACCAACACAGCAAACCCTGATTGCTTGGGATCTAAAAACCACACCTGCTGACTTTGTGAGGACAACACAAATTTGGGTCCCTAGTGTGTGGTTTGAGAGCTGTTGGCAAGGCAAGGTCTGAAGGCTATGGGGAATCACAGCCTTTCCTTAGCCCTGGGAGAGGGAAAAGCTAAAAATTAGCGACGACTATGATTTATTTAAGCATGCCAAAATATACGGCATTTATCAGCCATATTTAAAGCATGAAAGAAGGAGCAAAACTGGAGTGTTATTTGATGGCATTCCAATTTATATACAGTCTGTTAATTATTGCATGTTCTCATTAGCATATGTTCTGAGTGAAACCAAATGTAGGAGATGGAGTCCTATTTGTGTAGTGTGTGCCTGTATTTGAAAATTCAGATTCATATGTAAGCAAGGCTGGAAACAGCCCAAGAAATGTACTTAGGTAGCTCTTCCTGAAAAACACTGGTAAGTATTATGTTGCAAGAAGAGATGCTCATGTTCTGTCTGTGAACACTAAAATAGGTAAACGTAAGGTCATGCACCTATGTCAGAAAGGGAATGAAAGGAAGAAACAGAGCAAGACATGCTTTAAAATACAACCATCCTCTGAATCATTCAGTGAATCTGGTAGATGACATGGTTTTTTGTTTTTGTACTCCTTGAGGCAGAGGAAGTTCCTTCCACTGTGCTTTACAAAAAGTTAACTGAACCATTAATGATTAACAAATAAATAATCCTGTCTATAGACAATTATCTTTCCCCTTATGAAGTCACTTCCTCTCTCACTGTAAATCTGCCACACTATTCTGATAGCAGTTTTGGTAAGTGAGGTCACATCTGAATTTTAGAGGTTACTTTGAGGTGAATGAATGAAACTGCTGCATGAAATCTAGGACCTTTGGGTATACCTGTGACAACCTGGAACTTGAGATCGTTTGCTGCTGGAAGGCTTTAACGTTTAAAGGCACAATTCACATGAGCCTCAAATAAAGCAATAAAAGATGCTGCCTAGTGTGGCTTTTTTTTCCCCACTCATTGTGATGTACACTTTAAAAATGTTTGTTTTTCATCTATTATTTAATAATCTAGTACAATCTTTACTACTGTTCAGGGAGATGTTGTTAGACAAATAGGTTTTTGTTGTCTTTTTATCTTTCCGTTTTTTTGTGAAAGCAAATGGAGTCTCTTCATGCCATTAACCAAAGTGACTTGTAAACAAAGAGGCAATTTAACAGCATCCCCACAGCATTACATTCCTACTTAACCCTGCAAAGACTGTGCAATGTGAAAGCTCAAATGATCAGAGAGTTGTTCCTTTTGCTAGGATTCTAGTAAATAATCTTTTTACAGATGTGCAATTGCATTTTTTTTTTGCAAATATATTGTTCAAGATTATAATCCCAAAAGCAAGAAGCCCTTACAATGGACTTCCTATGCAGTCTGCACCTCTGATTGATTTCTTTGCTTTACATAACATTCATTTAGTGGAAGTGAATGATGAGCATTGTCAGAACTGCAGTGTAAACCAGAGCATTTCAAGGAAAGGAAGCAAGATGTAACATTAAAGGAATTTGAGGAGTGCAATGGCTGCTCTGTAGAGCATCAGGGCTATTTGCATTCACTGCATTTGTTACAAAATATATATTTATTTTCTATTAAATTACCTCCTGCAGCATTTACTACTCTCACAGTTTGGTGTGTTTTTTTGGTACCCATCACCCCTTCCCCCGTCCTCCAAATGCACCACAGGTTTTTGTTATAAGTAAAATAAAGGTGCCATATAATTCCGTCTGCTTTCTGTCAGAGCATTCAATATGTGTGGAAAAATTAAATTTGGGAGTAAGGTAAGAAGGAAACAAGGGTTTCAACTAGCCCTGAGGTCATCCTAGCTCTTCTCTGCTTGCTTGGACAAATTATAATTATTCTTTTTCTAGAATAGGCACATTTTTGCCCTTTTCAGCAAACACACTTATGTTTTAATAGTTACTGCTATTTTCAGCCTTGTACACGCCAGAAGCTATAGTTGGTCATGCCAGTATTCATTAAAAAGTCACATGCACAAACTTTATTCTTAACATTTGTTTACACTTCATGTGATAGTCACAACATTTTAAATTAAATGCAGGATTCAAAGCATAATTGACACCACCAAATGTTATTTTCACCTACTAATAATCAGAATAACTGATAATGCTCCAAACTGAGACAGTTCCTTAAAGCAAACATACATGCTCCTTCTACCTCTGTAGTAGATTTCTACTGATGAAAATGCTGGCTTTTCCATTTTCTTTTTTCTATGGAGGAACAAAATGTTATACCAACTCAGAAACTAGCTGTATTTTTATCCTGGTAATTTACAATAGCCATAGAATCATAGAATGTGCTGAGTTGGAAGGGATCCATCAAGATCATCAAGCCCTACTCCTGCCCCTGTGCAGGACACTCCAATCACACCATGTGCCCAAGAGCATTGTCCAAACTCTCTTAATTCTGTCAGGCCTGGTGCTGTGAGCACTTTCCTGGGGAGGCTGTTCCAGAGCCCAACCACCCTCTGCAGTGAAAAACCTTTTCCTGATATCCAATCTAAAAATCCCTGACTCAGCTTTAGGCCATCTCCTTGAGTGCTGTCCCTGGTCACAAGAGTGAAATCAGTGCCTACCCCTCTTCTTTCCTTTATGAGGAAGCTGCCATGGGTTCTCCCCTCGGTGTCCTTTTCCCCAGGCTGAGCAAACCAAGTGACCTCAGCTGCAGCTCATAAGGCTTCCCCTCCAGACCCCTCACCATTCCCATGACCCTCCTTTGAAAGCTCTCTAACAGCTTAATGAGAGCACATAGAGCATAAAGAACTTTCATATCCATTACTTCAATGAGTTTACTAAATAGTAACAGGTATGTATAGTTTACCAACAGGGAAAAGTTTCCACACATAACTAATTCTCCCTATAGTTGTTTATTTTACTATTTCTATATACAGCATGGTCTCCCTCTACTGTTCATTAGCTAGCTTTTAGTCCACTCATTTTCCTTTCCCTTAACTGGAAAAAAGCTTCACCCTCTCCACCTCTGTCCACATAAGGAAGGACAAAACCAGTGATTGTGTTACTTTCCCAGCAGAAAGCACCAGAAGAGCAGAAAGGCCTTGCTTTTAAGAAGAAACAAAAGCTTTAATTCCTACCATTAAAGGAAACAGACAAGTTACCTATCTTAAAACCCAGCAGGCTTCCATCTAAATCACTAATGCAGGAATTGCCACCAGCCCTCAGGAGCCCTGACAGCCAGAACACTCCTGCTGTTTTAATGAGAAGGAGTGCAATGCTCCACTTCACCAGACAAACCCTTTTCCCACCCAGTTAAGTACAATACAGCTATTAAAAATAGACGAAATAAAACTTACTCAATAAAGTAGACTTCCCCCTTTTCTGTATAAGCCATTTCCCAGTTATCAGGCAGTGGGCCCAAGTCATCATTCTCTTCAGGTTTAGTCTGTTTTGTTACATCCATATCCTCCTTTGCTTCTTCAGGCTGACCATATCCTGGTGCAGGACAAGGCTGGGTGGTAGATGCCTCACCTGAGACAGCTGTACTCTTCTCTTCATGTTCACTTGATTCTACAAGAGAAAAAAAAATTACAGGTTTTGGATACCCAAGTTAATGGTGAAGAATTTACGGGGTGCAAGTCTCCGTGAACTGCCAGCTTTGAAATAAAGAGAACAATTCTGTTTGGTTTACACAAAGGTTCCTCTGATGATGCATTTTATTTGGAACGCAATAAAAGAAAATAAAGGAATAAAACCAAACTGAAACAAGTTCAATAAAGAGTTCTGGCTCATTCTGTCCCAGGAGTCCTTCCAGACCAGCAGTAAGCTCTGAGCAAAAGGCAGCTTCATATCCAGCAGCTCTACTGTCTCATGTCTTAACCTCTCAAACTATACTCATAAACACATATATATACACATAAAAAAACTACCCCACTGTTTTACTACAGACTACAGATCCTTTTCACTTAAAAGTGCATATGCACTAATTTCTTTATGTGTCCATTCTTTATGTATCAAATAAACCAATGATATCCAAGAGGTCATAGCAATATATTAACCATATAGAAAGTGGTTGTGATTTCATTGTTGATATGACCTGTAGGAGGAGGCTTAGCTTTCCAGAGCCAATACCAAATGCTTCTACATATCAACACTGTAGTGTACAGGAAAGTTCACAAAGATGAAAATTTATTAAATGATCTAACAGTGCACGCAGAGCAAGGAAGTATGCTGATACCACATGAAACATGTAGGAAAGTGGAAGACAGCTTAGGTGAAATGTTCTAATTAGTGATGCTTACAACAGCAAGAAAGAAGAGCAAAAAAAAATTAACAAAAACTGTTCATAAAGGTGTAGATTTTAATTAACCCACAGAATCAATAAATGTGCTGCTATGGCAAGCAGTGGTAAGAGAGAAAAGGTTTAGGAGAACTACTAAAGATTGAATAAGCAATACTAAGAATACAAGTAACAATTTTTAATGGAAAAGAAAAATAGTAAGTATAATCAAAGATAATTTTAATTAAGTCATGAATTTGCAATGAGCTGCTACTTGAGGCAGAATTGTACAATTGTACCTAGAATTCACAGAATTCTAGGTGAAAACTAGATTAAATTGTTAAGGATGAGCACAGAAAAATAACAGCAAAACAGAACAGTCAGTCTAGAAAGTGGGATATGGTCAGGACATTAGGGCTAACAAGAAAACTTTCTGTAAGTTCAATAATAATAATAATAGTACCAAAAGCAGATTCCTTCTGCTATGTGGGAGGGAAGGAGAGCTAATAGTTTATGACGCATAAAAACCCCATTAATTAGTGCTCTTTTTGCAAAAAAAAAAAAAAAAAAAAATCACCTGTGATTAAATGACTAACATAATTAATATCAGCAATAGGGCAAAAGAAGGTGGAGTGGGCAGAGAACAGGTCAGGTGAAATGCAGATTACCTAAATGTTCTCAGCTGGCAGAGCTGGATGAAATGGAACCCAGGGTACAGAGAGTACCACATAAGCAGACTCATGGAAAGTAATGCCAACACCTTCCAGACTTCATGGGGAAAAGCAGCTTGGAAAGGACAAACAGAACCCTGGTTTCAGAAAAGTATATATGATTTGGGTTTTTAGACAGTTTTATATTCTTAATTTCTGAGTACCTAAGTTTCGTCTGAAATGATTTGCTCAATTAGGCCATTTTGTCTTTTTGTAAAAAAAAAAAATAGAAGGAGGAGGAAAACCCATGAAACTAGCTGCACATCTTTCTCTTTTTAATTCCTAGGATGGGGAGTAAGAATCAAACCACTGACATGTAAACTCTTCAGAGGTCATAAATATTTGTCAAGACTTTTCAGGAAGAAATTGTGTCAAACTAATCTTTTTTTCTTTACATGACATAGTAAAAGGTGCTGCTTCTTGGACATAGATGGTATATACAGCTTTTGTGATCTTAAAAAATACTCTTGACCCTGACACATCAACCCTTCAGAACAGCATGAAAAAAACCCAGATTCAGCCTTGGAAAGGGTAATGATCTACAGCTCTATATCCACACACAGCTCATGTTGGTAAATCTTAACTCATGCTTGAACTATGTAGAATTACAATCATTTTACGCTGTTTGGAAACATGAATCTATCTGTCTGTAGCATTTTCAAATATGTAAAAGCTTCCTGCAAAGCAGAGATGATGTATGGTCCCCACTTCCCCTGAGAACAGGACAATGTAATAATTGCTGAATAATTTTTGGGGTGTTTTGTTCTTTGCAAAGCAAAAGTCCTCATCTACTTCAGGCATTATTAACAGATCTGTGAGTTGTATTTCTGAGGCTGGCTGCAGCCTTGACCACATCTCTACCAAAGGAAGGAAAACATGAAGACTAAACTGAATATAAGACAAAGGTTACATGGGAGATATGAGCACAGCACATTGAATTCATTTGGGGCAGAGATGAATCACACACGATGACTGCTGATCAGCCAATGTGTCTGAAGGGCACAGATGTGGTGACACTGCTGTGCCCTGGGATTTTACCATATCTTTAATATGTGTTCTTCCTCAAGATCTTATTTTCAACAGGTCTCAAGGGGTCAAATTCGTGATTTTCAATTACTATATTAACAAATCCCAGCCATAATGATGACAAAAAAAAAAAAGAGTGAAAATTGTTTCTATTATTTACAGTTTAATTTTTGAAACTTGCCATCTAAACATGCAAGAGGACCTTGCCACTTTATTCCTTTATTTTAATGCCGCAGATTATCCATGCAGAGAAGTTCAAAAACTTAGTGTCTTCATTCAAAAGAACCAACTAATATGAACCAAGTAATATCAGAAAATAAAAATATGGCAATTTATGAGGAGGTTATAGCAGTTCTGAATAAAAATATTTCATATCTTTATAACCTTATTGTATCAAATTGCTAAGTTTTTAAATTATGTACAGGAAAGAGTCCATCCTTTTGAAATAACTGTTGAACTGAGGAGTGAGTAGTTTTAATTGAGTAGTTTAACTCATGTTTGCCAATATATTTGAATGTGTCTTCTTATAAAGATGTAGCTTTGCAGCCTTGGAGTTTCTCCCTTTTCTATAGAGCTGGAGCCATATTCAGTCTCGGTGCTTTTGTATGGAGGCATTGCTCCCCCTGACTCCTGACACCGTGAGAGCCAGGAGCTGACCTGGGCAAGGAAAGCAGGAGTCATGGAGAGCACAGGGTATTCTGTGGGTCACAGGATGTGACTTTGTTGCAATAAATTGAGCTTATAGAACCTAGAAAAATCAATGGATACCAACTTTTGTGTGTTTTTAAATTTTGTATTTTAAATGTGTGTGGTTTTGGAAGCTTTGTATGTTGTTTTCATGCCTCTGGCTGTCTTTGCTGTGTAATAATAAAACAATAAACTCAACATGTTGCCTGGGTCTAGTGCAACTTGCATGGTGATTGATGGCATTGGGACTCTGGTCTTTTGTTCATTCCTAAGGCCTGGAATGATAATTTTGAAACTTTATGTCATATCTTATGCCTCAATTAATTTGAGCCTGACAGAACTTCATTCTCTGGGTGCAACTTATCATTGCTCAAGCACTGTCAGAATAATGCACATACATAAGCATGCTTTCAATGTGAAAGTGATTCTTCTGGAGTTTGGATGATAAACTTCATCAGTCAGCAGTGGAAAGCAAATGTGACATGACCAACACAGTGTCAAAAATACTGATGCTGGTTGTAAAGGAGACCGACTCAATCCGTTGCAGACATTAACAGTGACAGCAGTAAAAACTGCTGAATGTCTGAAAAGTTTCTGGTTACTATTGGATCAAGACTCTTTTTACCTATTTGGTCAAAGCATTAGTTTTGCAGAAATCATTAATTTCAACACAGTGTCTGTCAGGAAAGTCTTCTCAGGTGCAATATCTTGCACCCAGTAGTGTGCTCAATTGCACTAAGTGTAAGAAACCCAATACTAAGTCTAGACTTGCCCATCCTAACAGTTAATCTATAGATTATGTCTCCCATATGTTTCTTGGCAAATAGTAAAGTTCTGAATTTAATTTTAGCCATTTAAGCTCTTTTGTATCTGTAGGCTGAATTAATAACTCTAAACTGTAGAGGTGATCCCCTAAAATGTGTCTCTAAAACAGCTATGATCTCTTACATTGTGACATTTCTTTTTCCTTCTAATTTTATATCTACAGAGCAGAGACAAATAGCTCAAACAAAAAAGTAAGACATTTAGGCATATAATTTACTAAAGCTGGATGAGATAAATCTCATCTCCCAAATTATGCTATTTTGTCCTGAGAGAACTTGATCCAGGGTGAAGAGTACTCCATCCTAAAAGGGCCAAAAGCCAAAGCACTGAGAAGGATTCCTGGTCGCTTTAGGGCTGAGGACAGGTGGCACAAATCAGAAAGAACAAGCATATTGGGCAGACAATTATGGTCACTTTGTCCATACACAACTGTCTCACGGAAATCTGATGGACATGAAGCATGGAATATGGAAGGCATTAATGAAAAATTGCTAAAGCTCAACACTTGCACAGATTATGCCGACACTGAAAAGCTGCCTGAAAATTCAGACCAAAAGCACAAAAATCTCTGTAAGCACAGATATAACTTAACTGGTCTGATAAGGATGGGTTTCTTTTCTTCAGAATCATCTTAGATCTGTTAATATTTCAACCTCATGGTCCTATGTGTTAGAGAGGTACTTGAGTTGACAGGCTTGGATATGCAGTTAATAAGCCATTAAATTGCTGAGCATCTATAAAAAATGAATCAATGTTTCAGATGTCCCAGGAGCCTTATAATTAATAAAAGCCTCCTCCTGGAAGTGAAGTATTTAAAATAGAACACTCTTCCTAAAAGAATTGGCAATAACAAATGTCCTACCTTTGCTGATTCTTTATAAAAGCTAAAACGCTCTCTCCACCAGGAGTTTTAAAATAAATAAATTAATTAAAATATTCTGGTTTTCCTGATTGTTTAAAGACACAAACTGGAAATGCACTGACATTTTAGAGGTGACTAAGCCTCTGTCAGCTCACAGAGAAAATGACTGCGGGTAGCAGGGTCTGTGGGAGCCACACTGCCCAACAAAGGCAGCACAGCGTGTATGTGCAGAGCTGCTTTGCTACAATCCCCAAAGTCCTCAATCAGTGTAACTGAACAACAAAACACTGCTTATAAACCATGAGAGCCAACACAGGCACCGCTTGTTCTGCTGGCCACACCAATAGGATTTACTCTGGCAGGGAGAGGAGGGGGAAGAGGGGGTGGGCTGTCCTACACCCGTGCTCGTGTATTTCATTCTGTTACACAGCACATGCCAGCGCCTGCTTCTTCTGGGCTGCCTAGTCATTGTTCACACAGAATTTGCCTGGGAGAAGCATATTATAGGTGTAGAATTCAAGGAAGAACGCAGGTAAATATTGCCTCTTGATCCACTTGGAGCTGAAACATATTGTCCTGGAAACTGCTGCTCAGCAATGGTCTCCTATGTGGCACATTTTGAATAACTACAAAGAATGATCTTTCTAACGATTCCTACAGTACACATCAGAGACCAAATCCTGCCTTTGCCTCTTTCACTGTGGAAGTATCCTGGCAACAGCAGCAGTGCTGATGTTAGGAGCTCCATCCTTTCCTGCTTAGCTGTGTAGGAAGGGCACTCAGTGTCAGGGAGATGCCAACAGATGCAATCTTGTGTGGCAGGGATGAGCAAGGCTTGTGCAGCATGTGGTGGCAGTGGCAAGGGAGCAACACTGCAGCCCTCTGGAGAGCCAAGGGGAAGAACCAGACCCACTCTCACCCCATTGCTGCTGGACACCCCTGGTAGATGGGGATGGGTTATGCACAGGAATTTTCCTTTATATGTAATGTTAGGCAACAGCTAATGAAAAGCATGTGGCAAAATCATCCTGGATGGAAACAAATCAAATTCAGTATACTTTGTAGTGAAGCGGGAATTAAAAGGGTATATATAGACTTTGCAATACGAAAATCCTTCTACAGAGCATAGAAGATTAGGCAATAGATTTTTTGTTCCACAGTAACCTATATATTTATAGAACTTGCAATATTTCATTTTGTCTTCTCATCTGTGTCATTGTCACTAGACTTCGACTTCAACAGTCTGAGTCTCTAAGTTTGCCAGAAAGGATTCACAGCAATATTTCTCATAAAAATCTGAATTCTTCCATTTTCTTCATGAATGACAACAAAACAATTTCTTAAATTCTATTTCAGGATAAGAATTATTAAGTTCTGTAAAATATTGCCTTTGTGTGAGGTGGAGGGGGAAATTGATTACCTGCTTCAGAACAGGCTGGAGTGCTTTCACTCAAGATACCAGTCAGTACCCAGAACCCCTTTTTTTTTCCTGAAGCACTGTGATCCAAGAAGTAAATCAACAATTGTCTTTCAGAGGTCTTTGACATCTGAAACTCTTATCAGCTTTATGCAGGCTCTGAAACATTCCTGAAAAGTGTCCTCCAGATGGTATTGCCGGGTAGGTTTTAATGGCAGTGCCACACCTTTGTTAATATGGTGACTTTAGTCTTGCACTATATTGCTAAGTCTTCATGATAATTTACAAAATTTCATTTCATAAGGTGCTGAACAATCTTGTGAGTGTCACCATTTGAGAACAACAAGACCCAAAACACAGAGACTATTTATCTGAACAAATTGCAGTTCTCTAGATTCCCTCTATAGTCAACAGAGAGGAGCAGGCACTTGTGAATGATTTCCTAACACAGAAATCTAAACCAGGTCACAATCCATGCTCAGAAAGAAGGCATTTTTCTCTTTGGTCTATGAAGAGGGTTGAAAGAGACTAGTTCAGAGACAGAAATCTTTACAGTAGCTGAGGTAAGTGAGATGACTCCCCAAAATAGAGGTTAAGTAATTATTTTTATGCTTCAGAGAAATCCTAATATTCAGGATTCCTGCTTTCCCTCTTGCAAGAACATCCTTACCTGAACATGCATATTCTCACTGCAGAAGGAGGTAACTGAGGACTCTGAATAACAGAAACTGACTGCAAATTAAGAAGGAAGAACAGACCTGGTGTTACTGTCACGTCATTGCCATTGACCACAGGTCTTTCTTCCTCCTCTTCCTCTGGTGGTTCAATGCCTGTCTTCTCCATATTGCTCACAGATTTGTTCCTTTTTCGTTTGCCTTCAGCCCCTGGAGTGGCACCTGGGAGGATCTGGTCTGTCACATTTAACAGCAGCGGGGCCGGTTCTGCTGGAGGCTTCGGAGTGCCGTAATAGTTGTCTGCAAAGAGAGGAAAGGAATAACACATGAGATTACAGAAATACGCAGGCTGCTGCTGCTTCTTTTGTCTTACTTTAATGGATGTGTGAGGTGGGACCTGGCTCATCAGCTTAAATAAAGAATAGTTCAAAATGTTTTCTGCAAAATCCAATGTTTACCTTTCCTGAAATGGTAATTAATTTTCTTTGAGGTAACATAAGTGATCCAATCATGCTCACAAGCACGTATCTTATTAACAATTTCTGAAACTACAACAGGTGAAGTTTACATTCCTGCCCAACAAAATGTATTTCTGAAAGTTTAACAGGTTAAGTTTACATTCCTCTCATCCAAATACCTGACAACCAGAGCCACTCTCTTATTTCAAATCATTAGTTAGGATAAATTAGTTTTGCAACATTTATGCCACAAAACAAGAGTTTCTTAATGATCAAAATTTTGATGAGAATATTGATTATTTTTATGTTATGTCATTTTCACTCCCTCAAATTATCTCACCTGCTTAGAAACTAAATAATCATCCAATGAATCAGAGATTTTCAGTTTTCAGTAACACTTTCACTATCTTGTTTTTCATATTTGTGAAATCTTTGCTGTTCACGATTTCAAACTTTGTAATAGCCAATGCTAATATATTTTCAAAGAAACCTTTGAAAATAAGATTGAAACCTTATGCTTTAGGGCTTAACATTATCTCCAAGTACTAAGGAATTCTGAGAAGACTTGAGGGGCTGACAGATTACTCTCTATTTGTGTCTCCTGAAATTTCTGGCAACTTCCTCTGAGTCACCTACTTTCTGTCAGAAGGATTATTAGATTAGATGGACCACAGCCCCATCTTATCTATCAATACTTGTATGCTTGCATTTTTAGCACATCTGATCTCAAAATTAGTGTCTTGCTGGTACCACAAATTTTTCATTAAAAATATGGTTAAAATAGATCAGTAACATAATTAATAATATTTTAAAAAGCATGTACTTTGTAGAAAAAAATATAAATAGTGTGACAATATTATGACAACATGACAATATTATTGTAACCACATATAAGCATGACAAGAATAAATGCATTAAAATATATATGTTATACATGCACAATAAAGTATCATAAAATACATTTTGCAGGCAGAGTAAAAATTATTATTGGCAGCTGTGTTTCCAAAGACTCACTATGTTCAGCCACATGACCAACTCAATACAGGTAAGTAATTGAACAGCCTTGAAACTACTGAATACTCAATAAATTTTTCACAGCAGTTTAGCAAAACAATACTAACAACAGATGTTTCTGTAATTGTAACACACAGTAAAAATGTACTGTGTTAAATGACACTCATAGTGACTCTGGACTCAGGCATGTTTGAATGAAACTTTGACTCACTTTGATTTTCCTAGGATTTTGTGAGATGGCAGCAGGTTTAACCCAGCAGGGCTCTGTGGGGGTGACTGTGGGAGCTCCCTGGCTGCTGGCGTCAAAGCAGGGGAGCAGCATTTGGGGTCCAAGGGGCAAAAAGGAAATCTACATTGATCCACTCACAGAGACTGTGCCTCCAGAAAATGTCAAGACCAGATCTGTTTGCAGTCAAATTTCTATGCTCTGACAGTCCAGGCTGTTTTGAGAACATCTGAAAACCAACAGAGCTCAGCTGGAAGTTTACTTTTGTACTGCTCTAAGATCACGTTGCCTATATTGGCGAGACTGTGTGTCTGTAATATCCCATACTTTGAAAAATGGATTCCTCAATTTAAAAATCTCCCTGGCCTAAGCCATTTTACCAGTTTCAATCAGTGCTTCAGAGGCCTTAAGCTTCACAAAACTCATCAAATATACACTGATTTCCACTGATTCCATAAATATCAGAAGATCTATCCCAGGGATATTGTACTAGTGCGACACAAAGTGTGAAACTCAAGTGCAGTATCTTGGCTTTTTTTCCTTTGTTCTTAGTTTTGTCATTGCCATACAAAATTGAGTGCAGTAATAATTAGCAGTAATGCTAATACCCTGAATAGTAGATGAGGTGTTTTAACTGAATGATGCTCTCATGTTATTTTAAAATATTAGACACTTTTTCACTTTGAGTGACTGTATGCATTAGTGAGAGACAGAGATAAAATTCATACACACAAAAAAAATCTATGAATATCACATATATAAAAATATAAGAAAAAAATGCACATGTAAGATCAGGGGCCAAAGTGCATTTAACTAATTTGATTTCAAACTGAAAATACTGTATAATTTCCTACTTCTGTCCCACAACATAAAACTTTATGTGCTTTACGATCCAGTAACCACTGATTTAAAAGTGAGTTTAAAATCATTTATTGCTAGCTAATTATTGATCTATATTTTTAATTCAAAAATATGCAGAAACAATGGAAATAAAAATAAGAAACTATACACATACTGATACAATCAATGTGTCAATAAAAAATTAGTTAAACTCCAATGGAAAAAATATATAGAGTGAGATATCCAGCCATTTAAATGAAGGAGCAATGCTCCATTACAGAAAAATTAGAATCAACTTAAACTGTTTGTTTTATGAAGAAGAGATTCTCAGTGTCTTGAAATTCCTTACATAAGACTTGGGAGATTAGATATGACAGAAGACTCTCACAAAACCTTGGCGAATGTCATATCTAAGCATAATATAAAGACTAAATGTTTGAAAAAAATAACTTTTGTTGCCATTAAATTCTGAAAATCTCTGATCTCTTTTTCATCTTCCCTGTGCAAGGGGAAGGGTTCAATAGGTTATTGTTGAAACACTAATCATAGGGTACTGAAATTCGTTTTCCTGTAGGTAAAAAAGGAACACCAAATAAACAATTTCAACTGTAGTTAAGTTTTAAAAAGGAATTATTGAAAAGAAAAACAAAAAGAAAAACAAAAAGAAAAAGAGAAAAAAGTAAAAAAAGAAAGTGTTCTAGAAGAAAACATATATCTCATGCTCATTGGCAATGAGAAATACCAGCAGTTAGGAGTTTTTTAAAAAAAATGAATGGAGCACAAAACAGACAACACCTATATAGCACTATACAAAATCACATAGTATCCTTTCTTTTGTATACTGCCTGCTGTTCTGGTGCTTGCCTCTCAAAAATTACATGGGAGAACTAAAGAAGGGCAATTAAAGCTTGGAACTGCTTAAATTGATTTTGAGTTTTCAGCATGGAAATGGAGCAACTGAAGGGGGATATGGCACATATGTATAAAAACAGGACAACCCTGGGAAAGTGCCTAGAAAATCAATGAATGCATGCCTAGCTCCCACTACTTGAGGACAAGAGGATGCCCAAGGAAATTAGCAGGTTTAAAACAAGGAAAAGAAGCGTTTGTTTTTTTTTTTTACACAGCATAAGAGAATAGTGGCATTCACTGTCAGATGCTGCCAATTACATAAATGCAGTCAAAAAGCAATTATACCAAGTCATAGAAGAAAAAAAAAAAAGGCCATGAAAGCCTATTAAATGTAAAGGTACAAATTCTGAATCAAGAGTTGCATACAATCAGATTGGTAGAACGCAGAATGTAACTCTGCATGCCTTCCCTCTTCTTGTATTTTATGCCTTAAATCTCACAGGTCTCTTCCAATCTAGGTGATTCTGTGATCCACCAAGGGGCAGTAGTAAAGACAATTTCCCTCCATTTGACTAAGTGCAGCTGCTCTGTTACTCAGGTTCCTCCTTGTACTCAGAGAAATGTCTGTATACTCACCTGCCACCCCTGCACAGTCAAGAGGTCAGTTTAAGCCCAAGTGAAGCTCTTTGTGCTGGCCCTGAATCAAAGCCTCGGTGCAGGCAGGCAGTGCACAAAAAGCCCCTCTGCTGAATCCATCTGGCTGCTGTTCCTGATTGCTTCAGTGCTTCCAGCTGCTTCTGAGTGCAGCTGAGCACTGGAGAGGGTCTGGCCTAACCTATTTGACTTGGCTGCCAAAGCAGCTTGGAAGCCGTGGCACAGTGACAATTACCAAGTGTCCCTTGCCACCTCCGAGCTGCGTGAACCCTGTCAGCACCCTGATTCTACAAGTAAGAGTCAGACAAATTGATGGGTAGCCTTGCTCTGATGACAGAAACCAGATCAGGAAGTCAGAAAGTCACAAGAAGCAGAAAGTGAGGAAATAAGGAGGAGGAAACAGCTTATTTTTTTCCTTAACTTTAGTTCACCTATGTCAGGATGTAGTAAGATTTCTATTTTATCGATGAAGCGTTTGATGGTGAAGCGATATCCTAACTTGCTTCCTGAGAAAAGGTAAGCCTTTGAGGATGAAAAAAAGGCAGAGCACTTGGGTGGTAGCAAAGAAGCAGGAAAATCCTCATGCTGAAATGATAACAAGACTCAGATATAGTGACAGTGCCTATACTGATGTGCTCAACACCCAGTGATCCCAGTTACTGGGCACAGTTATAAATGTGCCCCCGTGTCGTGCTCTTCTTTGTGCTCCACTGCAGGGACTGACCTACAGGCACTTTCCTCTCCTGACCTTCCCAGTCCCTGTCCCTTTCCTTTTGTCAGGAAAGGCCCAAAATGCAGCATAGAGTGGACATCTCTTGCCATCCTTCTGGACAGAGAAGGGAGAGGAAGGGCTTTGGGCCAGGTCTGCACTCCAGGCTGTGGAGGAGGAGGAGGAGCTCCTTCAGCTCCTGGGCAGGCCAGCCTGAGCCATCAGGTTGTGGAGAAAGGGGACCATTGCTGAGAGCACCCTTGGCTCCTGAAGCTCCCCTGATCTCACATAAGGAATTAAAAATTCTAGTTTAAAAATGTATCATGAAAAGTTAAAATAGTGATGAGGAATTAGGAAATTATAGTAAAAATGAACAACCAGACAGAAAACAAGAGGTGTGCCAGTGCCAGAAGCTGTTAGGATGAATGCTTCCAGCTGTGGTGTGACTCACATTCTCAGCCCAGAGCAGACACATTCCTTTTCACACTTATTTTTAGAGTGAGATGAAACAATACCCAGCTACAAATACACACCTGCCTCTGCTTAT